TTTGGAGGTGCACCTTACTTCTACACCTACAGATGCGTCCGTATGCAAACTGCACCTGTAAGAATTATTCTAATTTAAAATTTTGGGATTCATAATTGGCTTGCTAAATGATTGTTTACAAATTAGAAAAGTATACATACATACTATTTACTTTTTGCTTTTAATGCAAGGAAGTTACAATATTCTTGTCAATTAGATTTCAAATTCAGTAATTGTGAGTGCGTCGATGATTAGAATTAAAGCTCAAACATTTTTATCGAATTTTGTGAGACACCCCAAGTGATTCAATTTGACATGCGATGGCTAGAACCAATTGTGATCTCCATGTAATAAAGATAAATCGTCTCATAGTATATAACGCTGTCTTGGAAAAAGTAAGTTTTTTAGCATTTCAATTTAACCATCTAAAAATTAGAAAATATGTATTCAATTTTATGATTTCTCTAGGGTAATAGAGATTACGCTTGTAATTTTTCTTGATATTTTTTTGTAGAAAAGTATACAATAATACTATTTACATTTGGTATAAAGTAGTCACAATTAATCTTGACAATGTGATATTGGGTTGTTGCATTTATTCCATTAATCAAGCTCAAAGTTCAAAAAAAAATTTCTTCAACTTTGTGATATACCTAAACTATCATATTTAAGAATCATTGTGAGCAATTGTGACCTCCTTATTAGAGGTAAGTGGTCTTATTGTATGCGGTCTATCTCTTCTTATTGTGGTTGTTTGCTGGATAAAATGTTAATCCAAATGTCTCTAGGCCCTTTTTTTTTTTTGATGAAATTTGTATAAGACCTAGGCTTTATGATAACGAAATAAAGCCTCACCTTAAATCCTCGTCTAGAGAGAACTGTCAGCAACAAAAATCTCCATGATGGATCTAAATCAATTTCCAACACCGATAATAAAATTTGAAACTAAAAAAATGGTACAAATCTTGTGGATCTATAAAATAAACGGTATAGATAATTTGTTACAATATACTCAATTTTTAGAACTTAAAATACTAATTTTGTTTCACAAGGCTGGGATGATTGATGTAAAGGTTATCTAATGGGTCAATCATAATTTTTGATGAATGATGAAGGGAGGATTTACTTATCTTGATAGGGTTGCAACTTTATTAAACCATTTTCTTTAATTTCTTTTTTCTTTTAGAAGAAGCACTCAAACTTTATAGTTATGATCACGCATGGGCTGGGCCTTAGAGGTGTAAATAGGCGAAGCCTAGTGGTGAAGGTCAACTTATGATTGACCAATTAAGCTAGCAGGCCTAAATTGCAAGCACGACTGCGGCCCGATCGGGCCAGGCCAGGTCAGCCAACCCGTTGCAAGCCTTAATACTATACACCTACTCTCTCATTCATAAGATCTACTAACAACACTTGGGTCTCACAATAAAAAATTTGGACAATCTTTATTCAATTTTGAGAAATTAATTTTTACCCAAGGGAGTAAAAAACCAGTTTGCTCCCACGGGAGCACAAGATCCATTGGCTGTTATGCGACATGCATTTTCTGTAAACCTGTTTCGGCAACAGCGTAATGTTGGCAGAGACTAATGCATACCACCATTTCAATGTTCAGAGGCTACTTTGTATTCTAAATCAGATAAAGTGATACTTCAGGGGTCTCCGGGACTGGACCCTAGGTCCTAGCCCAGCCTGGTGGGTGCGGTACAGATGTACTTGACATGGACCCATCGGGTTCTAGGTCTGTTTTGCACATGGCCTTGCGTCTTGAAACAGATCCATTTACGCATCTTATTTTTCTGTAAAAGCACTTTTTCAATGCATCTCAACTAATTTACATGCACCCCAAATGATTAAGATGTGTGACCCTGGTCATTCTAAAATTGGATTTCGATTCACAGTGGAATGCTCCCCAAAAATTCAAAGTATGCAGTCCAACAAAAGTGAAATTGTTCGATTTATCTCTCTTTTTTTCACCAAATTTTCTCAAAATTATCTTAAAGTGTTCCCATCCTACTGATCTACAAAATCACTATCAATTTTCCTATCAAAATGACAATTTCGACTTTTTTTTTTTTTCCTTATGATAGATTATTATTATTACTATTATTTTAATTGGCACGGCATAGTTAATTTTTAGTAAATATTTGTATTGATTAAAGTTTTGCTTCTGTTTAGGATTTTCCTGAATAATTTTGAGAAAATGCAAAATTTTAATAAGTATTATGTTAATCTTTTTGGTATTTTTGTTGGACAGGTTAAGATGTTATTTTTATTGTATCTTATTTTTAGGTTAGGTTTTGGAGAGAGAGGCTTTCATCTCCATCTAAATTGAAAACATGTATAATTAACACGAGTGATGAGGATTCTATAAGGTTTTAATGTTGAACAATCAAAAGTAGACTCACATTCAAACTTAGATGCAGTTCGGAATTTTTATATAAAATTTGAAGTTTTAAAAAGAGGATGCAGTTTCTATAACGTCTAGGCATTAGGAAAACAACTTAAAGCCTCGCTTCCGGAAAGCACACTTTGGGAATATAAAATCTCCATAATGGCTCTAAATTCAATTTTCAATACCGACTATGAAATTTGAACGCTCAAAAAATAATACAAATATTGCACATCTATGAACACTTAGGCGGTTTGGATAATTTATTACAATATACACTCTTTTAGGGTGTGAAATCTTTTTTTTTTAATAACCATAATGTTAAGGCTAAGACGATGAAATTTTTTATGAGCTTTGGTAGAGCCCTTCGAAAAAAGGGAAAGGTTTCTATGCTTCCCCTACAGCATAAAAGTTCTATCTTCCCCTACCATCCAGCCGTCCAATTTTGATCAAGAGAACCACTCACCGTTTGATCTTAGATCCGACGTCTCAAAGTATTTTATTTTTATCTTTTTTATACAAATTGTGTGAATATAAAATTTGGATACATTCCGTCTTTTCATTGGGGCGCACCTATAAAAAAATATTAAAAATAATTTTTTGATAAAAAATAATGACCAAAATACCCCTTAAAACTTTCAAAGGTATTTTAGTCATTTTATTTCATTGAAAATAATTTTTTTATATTTTTCAGTAGTGCGATTTTAATAGAAGAATGGATGTCCAAAATTTGGTGTCAAAATAGTTTATAGAAAAAAATTTAAAATAAAATAGTGTAGAGACTTGACATTGTGATTGAGACAATCTTAACCCTCCATTCAGAATGGACGGTTAGATAAGAGGGAAGATAGAACTTCTATATTGTAAGTGAAGCATAGAAAGCTTGCCCTTTAAAAAAAATAGTGTACATCTATAAACACTTGAAAATCTTTAAAACAAATGGTCATAATATGTTACAAAATACAATAATTTTGAGACTTGATTTTTTTATTTTTTATATTTTTTTTGGTTTTCCAACATCGGGAAACCTTTTCTTGTAGATCCTGAGGTGCACTTTAGTTCTACATTAAGATGAGCACATAGACTATGCTCCCTTGGGAGTACAGTTTACTTCTTCGATCGCAAGATTCTATTCCTTCAATCACGACCTACTTGGAGGACTTTTTCAATGTAAACTTTTAGAAACCTTGAGAATTGCTAAACAATTATTCTAAAAAACAGTGGAAATTTAATTTTCCTGAAACTTGGATCTCGTTATGGATGGTCTCTATTTAATCTCGTCATTTTTTTTCAAGGATATAATTAGGGAATTTTTTTAGTGCAGCTATCTTATAGATTGAAGAAATTACATTCCAATAATTTGAGGCGGTCCAGATATGCATCCAAAAATTATACCCGGTAGGGCCCAAATATTGGACCCGAACACTTTTCAAGTCCCAGGGGCCGACCCAAATAGTATTATTATATATATTTTTAGGTCAGATCCAATTGGGTCCAGACGGATCCGAACCCACCCCTACACAACATGCGAGGTTCGAATCCTTGCACATCCAAAATCACAGTAAAAACACAAAAAAAGACCTTTGTTTTTTAAACTAACAAAGAAAGAAAAACATTTCAAAGAGCTGACGTAAAAAGAAAAACATTTCAAAGAGCTGAAGTAAAATTTCACAAACAAGCGGGAGAACAGAAAAAAACAAAAGACATTTTGAGTTTAAGACATTTTGAGTTTATCTATTTTCATTCAAGGAGTTCAATGTACATCAAGCTAAAGTTTGATCAGTGAGCCTAACCCTTGGCCTCTCTCTCTCTCTCTCTCTCTCTCTCTCTCTCTCTCTCT